ACACTGTAGAAGTGAAACTTACGTTACTTATCTATCTATACATACACACATCTGCTTTTGCTTAAGGTTATATTTTTTCGCTTTTTTTCTATCAATGTACATAGATCCCTACCTCTACCACTGTTCGTTTTAATAACATTCATGTTATTCTGTTTTTCGATTATCTTCATTTTTATCTTTATACTCTATCGATAACAAAATCGATTATAACGTCTATCAAAATATCGATAACAAAATCGATGACAAATTCGATACAAATTTCAATAGTACCATCGATAATATCATTGGTAACTAAATCGATAAAAACATCGATAACAAAATCGATAAATATCGATAACCAAATCGATAAATATCGATAACCAAATCGATAAATATCGATAACACTATCGATTACAAAATAGATAAATATCGATAACAAAATCGATAAATATCGATAACACAATCGATAAATATCGATAACAAAATCGATAACAAGATCGATAAATATCCCTCAGGTTTTTCCGGATTTAAGTGTTCCTCTTAAGCTCAAAACGCCATAACTCTCAGTTATAGCTTCGACAGAATTCTGTCCAATTGGAAATTAATTCGGTGAGACTAAATATCACACGCTATGTAAAGTGGGTGGCAGAGGATAATTCAAACGTGTCTGATTCCAGAATTAGATGCAGTAGAACTTCTTCTGTCATGTCACAATATCGTCAATAAACAATCAGGATACTTGTAATCTTGGAGTTGGGTTATAAAAGTTGCTGTTTCCTTCGCCAATCTGATTTTACACACACCTTCACCTACAATCTTTTCAATTCTTCAGTCATCTTATTGTTTCTTTGGGTTTGACACCGACAGATAGTTTCAAGGACTGCCTGGAATTGTTACTCAATCTTAAATCTCAAAGTTCCTCCTCTTGATCACGTCATCGCTTTGCAGTTGTAACATCGAGATTTTGGCTGCAGATGACTTTGCCTTTAACTGCACCCTCCCTTCTGAAATTGAGTTGTGCATCTAATGGCGAGATCACGGCCGATTATCTATAAAAATTATGGAGAGCTGAACAGAACTTAAAGGACAAATCAAAAATTTTCCGTCGGCGGACTCAGTACGCACGACGAGTTATACAAAATATTTAGCTTGCAATTTACTAAACTTGCATACTGCATATGTATATGTACACTAGGGTACCTCACAAAAAAAAAAATTCCGGTATTTCAACCGAAATAATAAAATCTATCTATATCGTATATTTTAAAATATTTCGGAAAAATGTCTTATTACTTTAAACGGAAGGCTTTTCAGAAACGGATCTAACGATTTTGTTGAAATTTTGTATATAGATAATGTTTTGCATTTTAAGATTATCTAGATAGGTGTTATCTCCGAAAATAATATTTGTGTAACGTTGCCACCTTTACATACTAAATAACACATCCCAATATGGGTATTGGATGGAAAGAGTTTTGAATGTAACCAATTCAGAAACATCTTTGAATAGAGTTGCCACCTATTTTCTATGATATATTTATTTAGTTGTTTGTTTAGAAAATTAAGATACAGTATTACTCTTTACTAGTGCTAGAAGAAAGCTCTTAAACAATTCTTGCCTATATAGTAATTGTTGTCCCTTAAGATATTAGAGTAAGGTTGCCACTTATTTTCCATTCTACAAAATTTAAATAAAATAACTAAATATGCATATCAAATGAAATATATTTTTGAGAACTTTAGTGGAGAAATATTTTCGTTGAGGTTTGCCACGTTTTTTTTTTAAATACCAATATGGATCTTCCTAATTTCAACGAGGATTTTTTTGTAACTTGATATGTATGTACGTATGTACACACAGAAAATTTGCGCTCTTCTACGTAGCGTATTTTTAAGAGGGTGGCCATCTAATTTTCGATGCCAAATACTTTTTAATTTATTACAACCAATTTCATGAAAGCAATTTAAATGAAAAATGATTTTAATTTTTTGAATTTTATATGAAAATTTACAGAAAATAAAAAATCATTTTCCATTTGCTGGTGAAACCGCCGGTTAGGTTCAAAAATTAAAAATTTTTGTTTTATTAGTTTCGAAAACATTTTTTTTGTAGAATTCTGAGGTGCTGACACGGCAAAAATGTTGACGATATTTTTGTTAATTAACATTATTATTTTTTTGAGGGTTTTATTTTCATTTTGTTTCACTGAATACTGAGGTACTTCTTAAGTTAGAATATTAAAGTATTGATAATATTTGTTTATTGGCATAATATGTATGGAAAGACGTATTGAATAGGCGTAATGTTAAATAACAAAGTATTTTTAAATAAAAGCAATCCAATTGACCATTATTTGATACCCCCAACCTTGATTACTTTAAATAGTGTATGATTCCGAGCAAAGGTCAGTCAACCAAGCACTTAAGATTTACGTGAGTAATTCTTTTGATTCCGTCGATAAATTTTTTAAACATTTATATGCAAACCTTCCTTCTTCTATCATTTGACGTAATGACATTTTTAATTAAAACTAATTTTATTTATAAAAAACTCGAGGTTTTTTTTCAAATTGCTACAGCTCACTTAAATCTATATATTTTTCTGAAATATTTAGGCGAAAGTCTTAAAATATAATAGAATTTATAATTTCGTTGAAAAACAGTACTTATTTTTTTATGCAGAATGGTGCACCCTAATACATATCCATACACATATTCACACATAAAATATATATTTGTATCTATGCATGTAAATATTGGCGTGCTACATGAGAAATGGTAATTAATATTCATAAATTAATTTCGTCATGCTGGCTATAAAAATTAGTAGTGGCAGAAAATATGCAAAACAGCGGTGAAACACCCAAATTTTGGTGTGCAAAACGAGAGGGAAACGAAATTTGTGGCAAGCATCAAAATTTGATTAGGAACACGAACAGCATTGCAAAAAGGACCTTTTAGAGTAAAAACACTCTAAGCACTCTCATAAGTACGTACAAATGTTTGCGTGAAAATGTCTCTGTATGTGTACGTGTGTGTGTGTGTTTGTTCGTTCACCAAATTCGACATGATGACGTCACGCCACCGAAATCGATTAGCCAACAACGCCAGCGTAACCGATAGCAGGATGACGATTCGTGTTGTCTGAACCACTGTTTACACCACAAAGCATAATAACAACCACCTTCCAGCCACATCGCCGCCGCCGCCGCAGCAACCTTTCCTTCATCAGTGCTATAGGAGTACACCACAGAGGCGTTAGGCTGCCGTGTCGCCCCAAAATTCAAATAAAAATAAATAAAAAATCAGCAATGTACGGAATTTCCAAATGTTTCAAAGCGCGAACGACGACGAATGTTATAGATTAGGGTGCATCACTCTAAAAAAAAAAAAAAATAAAAATAAAAAAATCGGTACTATTTTTCCATAGGAATTATAAAATTGATTATATTTTGAGAGTTTAATTAAAATATTTCAGAAAAATATTATGATTTACGTGAGCTCCACCGATTAAAAAATATATCCGAAAATCGAGTTTTGTATGAATAAATTTAGTTTTGAAAAATATTTTTTCTAAAAAACCAACTCAGATGAATCGGTCTAGCTCGCGTAAATCTATATTTTTCGGAAGTATTTTCGCTTCCGCCTTAAAATATATATAAAATATTTTATAATTCCGGTGGAAAAACCGCCACAATTTTTTTTTTGGCGAGTCACTCTAATGTGTATACATCGGTGTCTTTTTGTTCTTCTAAAGTGCAGACAACACTAAAATCTTGATTTGTTGTCCTTGGGTCCATCATAAATTTAAACAACAAACAAACATTATGACACATACAGTTTTTTTCTTTGCTTTTCGTTGCGTTGATTTAATTTTTATTTGCTGTTAATGTGGGTTAACATATTTGTTGTTGTTGTTTTGTTTGTTATTGTAGTTGTTCTTGCACTATGAAATAGTGTCTGTTAGTTAATAAATGAAATAATGCCGTTCCGGTGAGCAGCTGTTGGCGTTCACAGGATGGAAGCACTTAAAATGCGCCGAACTGGACATTGGATTTTGGGTGGAGTGAGTGAAGAGTGTGCAATGAGCAGCCGCTTTAATGGCGACAAAATTTGGTCAGCCAAAATTTTTCTTTTTTTAATAATAGCGTACTGCGATTTTGAGTCTCAAGAGGGGTGCTTTTATTTATTTATTTATTTATTTTTGAAGTCTACATATGCTAACAAATCCTTACAGAGTAGCGGTACAAAATCAACTTAAAGATAAAAGTTACAGACTTAATGGCAATATTAGGCATTATTAGCTTCAAGTTTAGATAAAAATAGATATCTAGGATATGTGAAATCTAAAACCGGAACCGGATAACCGGGTCCTTTCAGGAACCGACCGGTCCGGTTCTTACAAGACCCGAAAAACGGTTCTAACGGAACCAAAACTCGATTCCAAAAGAACAGGAAAACGGTTCTAGAAGAACCGAAACTCGAATACAAATAAACCAAAAAAGCGGTTCCAGAAGAACCGAGATTCGATTCCAAAAGAACAGAGAAACGGTTCTGGCAGAACAGAAATTTTATTCCCAAAGAACCATTAAACGGTTCCGGAAGAACCGAAACTCGATTCCAAAAGAACAAAAAAAAACGGTTTGGGAAGAACTGCAACTATATTCCAAAAGAACTGAAAAACGGTTCCGAAAGAACCGGAAAATGATGTCAGAATAACCCAAAAAATAAGTACAAAGAACCGAAGAGCCATTCGAAAAGATCCTACAGTTGCGAAAATCGGTCACGAATCGCACATAGATTTGAAGTTATCAGCCCGAAATTCGGTTTAGATATGTACTATAGAGTTTGTTCGGTCTTAGGCACTATATCATATACCAGCCATATATCTAATCTGATATAGGACGATGCACAGTGTGATATAGGACCTCCAGGATTGTCTCCATCACTATTTTACGGAGCACATTTTTGGCGTCGGAATTCAACAGAGTCAAATTACTGTGCAACTTCATTACATGGACCAGATCTTTCAGTATGTCATACCGACCCATATAGAGGGTTATCTCTTCGATCTTGCCGTGGAGTCTGTTGCAGTTCAGTTGTGGTAGCGTCGTGTGCATTGGGAGGCCTGTCACTGTGCGTGGGGTGGGAGATAAGTTGTGTGGTCTACCTTGTTCCTGTAGCGATTACCGCTGTGGATAATGCTGCCTGGTGGTAAGTAGCTGCGTCGGATGGGTCGATGGCTGAAGAAGTCTGCACCAAGGAGCGCCGTGGTTACTTGCTCAGAAGGCAGTAAGGAGATCTTCTTTGCCTCATAAAGTTGCAACTTTCACATTTGGTGTGTGGCACGACACGATTTGAAGAGTTACCCAGGATTAACATCTGCGAAGTGAAAAACTTCGCTGTTAAACACACAGTTAGCTTTCATTACTAAGTGGTCTCAAAAAACTAATACTTATGGACCGAGTGGGCCCTTATTTGCGACAACCGCCATAACCTAACTCACCAAGTTGTACCTCAGACAGTAGTTAGAGGAAATGTTGTGTTTCTGGTTTATTTTTCTTGTCTACAGTTGTTAGCCATGTCCTTGTGTTGCAGTGGCAATTAACGCAACTTGAAAACGAAAATCATTATAATTATAATAAATAATTGCATGCAAAATGTCAGTCAACTTGTCAGTCCATACCGTCACGGCCATCCAATGGCTTCACAACCTCTTGGCCAGCAAAAATAGTAAAACATCAAAAAATCTAACCGAATCGCCAACAATTCATTCATGCATACAGTCATTCCGTGCCTAGCCTAGCACACCCACAACACCCCGACCGGCTCAGCATAATTCAGTGCAGTTGTCTGAATAACTGACACAAACATCAAATTTTGTATGTGGCCCCTCAGTAGGCCTGCTGCTGTTGCTGTTGTTGTTTTGTCTGTGTAGCTCTTGTTCCTGCTGACTGTTGCTGTCATGTTTGCTGTAAATGTCAGTTAGTAAATTTGGTGGATGTCTACAGAGCTTAGCGAGTACTGACTAAGACAACGACCAAATATTCGAGTGCTTATGGGCGAGTTTGGTGAGCATTGGTGTTGATAAACCATCAAAAAAATCAGAAAAAAGGTAATAAAAAAAAAAAAACGAAAGTCGAACGTGCACATGAAACGAAGCAGAAAGATCGAAAACGCATACAAAAGTCTGAATATGTGTTTATAAAGTTTGTATTGAGATATAGATAAAGCGTCATAGTTACGGTGACCATATCTTTGAAGTAAAAATTCTTATTATATACATGGTTCAATCCATGTCAAATCGACCAATGGTTGGAATCGACCATTTTTGATTTGGATGAATTTTTTTCAAAACTTTTCTTTTATCTTACATGTAACGCAGTTCTGCCAACGAAAAAAAATATGCTAATAAATTTTCCCCCTAAAATTCCATATATGTACTACATATATCCAACTAGATTATACTAAGTACTCTTCTTCTTCTGCTTTGATATTAAGTTTAAGACATGAATTCCCGTTAAGAGTGATTGGTAAAGTGTAAAAGCCTAGTTCGATTTCAATCTTCAGGAATAGCTCAAAACTGGCAAGACGGTGCCCATAGCCGCTTTAAACTAGATAAGTATTAAAATCGTAATCAATATCAATTAAGAATAAGCCTGTGTCTACTAGGGTACTGCGGTGCCTTCCCAGCTGAATTAATAGATATGTTTAAAGAAGACTCCCCTCTGATCTAGGAAGTCTTCTGTAATAATATATGTACTCTATCAGCGCGTTATTCTAACAACCAGGCTGGGATTTACAGGGCAATCCTGACAAATGTCTTTCTTAGAATTGAATTAAATTTGAAAAAATGGTTTTCTTTGAATTTAAACAACAAAAAATGGAGAAAATAAAAAAAATGAGTTCTAAAATTTAAATGAAATAAAAAATTATGTTTCTTTTAAAAATATTCAATTAAAAAAAAAACAAAATATTTAATTATCAACACAAAAATATATATGTATTTAAAAAATACAGAAAATAGATTTCTTAAGAGGCGCAACCTAGTTGAAAACTAATAACCGTTTGTGGCTCATATTTGGCATTATAATCGACTGAGGTTTAGAAATAAAAGAGACTGATGCTGTGTATTTTGACGTTTTTGAATGCACCCGAACTAGTCTTTACAGCCGTCTCTGCTGTTAATGGAAAAAATAACTGTATCATTTACACGGGAAAGTAGATATGACACACATCAGGTCACGCTAGTTACATATATCACAATGGGTCTTCTGGCAGTAGCGGTGCTCTCGTCATTCCCTATGGAGAGCGGCAGTCAACGTAAATTAACGTAACCTATTACCGATAGCGCAAAATAAGCTTTGAAAAATCTTCATTAAAATTTTTATTTTTTTTTTGTTTCACTTTATTCAATAAGCATGGCGAATGCACTCGCCTCCACAAAGTAAATAGCGAAGTATGAGCTCTTTTGTACTCTATGCTCTTTCTTCAAAGTTTGTTTATACCAGTAAAAACAAAAGTACGGATGGTCACCGTAGCCACAGTAGACATGCTCCTGCGCATGTAAAGCGTAGCGCTCACATACACGCACACCTTGCTTACAAGTCGACTCCTGCTGGCTACTTCAACAATATTTTGATCCTTCTGCCCACACACACACACGCTTACTTACACATGTGCATACTCACTCGTCCAAAATTTGCGGCGATTTTCAATCTCAGCGAAGCGCAATGGACCGAATGGAATTTCTGAATTCGTGAATCATATTTTGTTTTTTTTTTTGCGATTTCGATTTTACTTTACCTTTCGGTGTTTTTTTTTTTTTTGTATGTGTAAAGCTTGCCCGAGGGTTGTTGCTTCCGCCATGGCGAGTCCTTGCTGCTATAGGTTTGTGTGTGTATATGTACATACCTCTTTCGGTGGTTATAGCAAAACACCATGAATAAAACCAAAAACAAATATCGTCGAAGTGTGTGCACAATACACAACAAACTTGCAATCCTACCTATAAATCTATCGGTGCAAAAACAAATCTACTTGAAATGCTCTGTCCGTCTGTGTGCCTGTCTCTCAGCTCGTCAGCAGCATCGCCATCATAGCCATCGTCGTCGTCCAAGTGGAAACGCTACGAAGCAAAAACAAATCATAACCAAAGCTCAATCGAATCAAGCGAAAATTCGTTTCGGTTCGTAGATTTTCATATCAAAAAAGGTAGCATGCTGTTCAGAAACCTATTAAAAAAAAAAAAAATAAAAATGCCTATCCCTCACTTTGATAGAAACTATTTTAAATTATTTAAAAACTATTAAGTCGGTTTTGTACCGGTTACCGATTACTATAAACCCGGTTTTTAAGTACCAGCTACTAATTTTGAGAAGAACGGTGTGGTCACGCTAATTTTTTATGGTTATTTCAAAATTGAAATTGCTTTTCTGTACTAGTTACCTAATTCTAAATTTTGGAATGTCCTTGCTAAAGCTTGCAGTACCTGTAAGCGACCTAATTTTTATTATTATTGCTATTAGAGCATCTACCGCTTACCAAATTCGAAAAATATTTTAAATTAATTAAAAACCATTAAGTCGGTTTTTGTACCGGTTACCGATTACGAAAAACTCGGGTTTTAAGTACCGGGTACCAATTTTGCGAAGAGCGGAGATGTTACGCTCAGTTTTTTCAGTAATTTCCAAAATGAAATTTCTTTTTTGTTCCGGTTAACAAATTCGAAAAACCCGAATTCTTAACGGGTGATTTTTTTGAGGTTAGGATTTTCATGCATTAGTATTTGACAGATCACGTGGGATTTCAGANAAACGAATATTTCGGAATGTCCTTGCTAAAGCTTGCAGTGCCTGTAATTATTATTATTGCTATTTTTAGGACATATTGCGCTACGACCTAACTAGGACTATTGTGCTAACTCTTAAATAGTCAATCCAACTTTGGCGGGTGTCGTGTTCCAGATTCTTAAAGGATATGGTAACCGTTCTAAACCTAAGTCGAGTTATATGCGGCCAATCACATAACGTATGCTCAAAGGTTTCCTACACCGGATTACAAAACCTGCAGTTCGTCTCCTCAGTGAGTGTCACTATGTGTAGATGGTACCTCAGCCTGCAGTGTCCTGTCCTCTGTCCTCGGTGGGAGTTCTTAAACCCTCGCTGCTAAGATTTAGCAGTCATTGAAAAATGGCAATAGAGGGAGTTATAACTCTTTTTAATTGCATTTTGCTCCCAACTCCATAGCATCGTGCATGCTATGGACGAATCACAGAAAGGATGAGGGCTGGGCAGACTGAGTTGGGCATCGCACTACGCTAAAGTGTCAGTATTTTCGTTGTCTTCTAAACTCTGGTGGCCCGGAACCCACCACAATGCTTTTTTTTTTTTTACAACGATTTACAAAAGTTAAATACCCCTAACGCTGTCTGGCTATCAAACATCACCCTTTTTTTGAAATTTAGGTCGATAAACGCTGGCCCAAGTGTTCCTGTCCTCAAGTTTGGATCCACCAGTGTACCAGATAGTTAGTTCACCTCTTGTCAGTTGAATTTCCTTCCTTTGGTAAATGGAACGATGATGGGCTTCGTTGTGTTAATTGACAGACCCTTTTCAGCGTAACATGCTAGAGTTAGGTTTAGAGTAGACTTACAGTTAACAAGGTCATCATCATATCCATATGCATAGGAGCAATTTCCTATTAGTCTCTCTAAAAGTTGATTCAAAACCACTACCCACACTAGGGGACACAGCAGCAATTTTTTTGCTGCAAAGCTTGCACTTTTTAACTTTACAGCAGGCAAATTAGGAATATCGGGCTTTTTAGCAGGGACCGGGAACAAAAGGTATGCTCGAAAGTAAATTTGGTTCTCATAATTTTGTTCCCAAGAACGTTTCAAAACCAAAATCAGAATGGTAACAAAACTGTTGAGAACGTTCTCAATGGGAGTTACATAAGAACAGAAACTTGTGGAACTTTCGCAAAGAAAACAAAATGCGAACAATACTCTCGGGAACATTTCTAAGAGAACAATATGGAAACAGAAGTCTCCGGAACATTTTGGCAAAGAACAAAACGGGAATAAAAGTCTAAGGAACTTTCTCTCGAACAATAATTTGGGAACTAGAGTTTCAGAAACTTTCTGACAGAGAACGAAACGGGAACAAATCTGCTCGGAACTATTCGCAAAGAAAGGAAGCCAAAACACATTTTTGCTCATAGCGGTAAATTTTCATCTCTGCATCTGCGTCCCTCTCATTCTTAAAGCAAAATTCTCAAAACTTTTATTCTCGTTTTGTTCTCTAGCAGAACATTCCCCAGACCTTTGTTCTTATTTGATCCTCCTTGAAAACGTTCTCGATACTTTCGTTCTTATTTTATTCTCATTGGAAACGTACCCGCAAGTTTCGTTCTCATGCTGTTCGTCGTGGGAACGCTTCCGTGAGTTTTGTTCGAATTTGGCTCTTTACCGAAACGTTCCCGAACCATTTGTGCTCATTTTGTTCTCGTTCAAACTGCTCTCAATACTTTGGACTCTTTTGTGGGAACGTTCTTGACATTATATTTTATTCTCGTGCAGAACTAAACCAACGCGCTATCTATCGGTCCCTGCTTTAAATTGAAATTAGCATAAATAGTTCGGGTCAGAAAAAAAGGCATTCCGACCATTGCGCGATGTTAAATTTATTTGGCACCTCAATGCCAAGTTGACTAGTCTATTAACTATTTATATGAGAATTTACTTTTTCATCATGTCTACAAGCTTTTATGATTCTTTCGAAATGAGTTCATTCACAGGCAATAACCAATATGCGTCTGCTAAAAAGTCAATGCGATTTATGTAAAACAGCAAGAGCAAAAGGGAATTTCTAATTTTATTTGCGACATATTAAAATATCATCCACAACAGTTTTATTTAATCGCCTATCGTAAATAAAACAATGCCAGAATGAAAGTCAAAAACTGTATTTTTGTGTTTTAATATATCTGTCCATTAGCATATCTA